ATCAAGAGAAGTAACAATTACAAATATATAAGCACCTAACATTGGAGTACCTAAATACATAAAGCAAATTTTAGTGGAACTGAAGGAAGAAATAGACAACAATACAATAAGAGTAAAGGACTCAATAATCCCCTTTCAATATTGAATGGTTTATCTAGACAGAAAGTCAATAAGGACACAGTGGACTTGAATAATAACATAAACCAAATGGACCTAACAGACATACAGAACTTTCTGCCCAACAGTAGCAGAATACCCATTGTTCAGTGCACATGGAACAGTCTCCAGAATCAATCATGTGTTAGTCCACAAAAGAAGTCTTAACTTTAAGAAAATCAAAAGCATATTAAGTATCATTACTTACCTTGATGGCATAAAACTAGAAATCAATAATGGAAGGAAAACTGAAAAATGAATGAACATGTGGAAGTAGTCCTGAACAACTAATGGCTCAAATAAGAAATCAAAATGGAAATTTTCAAAAACCTTAAACAAAAATAGAAATGCATTACACAAAACTTTATAGAAAACAGCAAAAGCAGTTCTAAGAGGAAATTTTCTAAAAATAAATGCTTACATTTTAAAAAAGAGCGATCTCGGCTGGCATTCTTCCTTTCTTTCTGTGGGATGCCACGCCATCCTCTCCCTCCTTTTCCCTCCCTCAACCCATCTTCCCCTCTCTCACTCCCTGCTCTCTGCTCTCATCTCTTCCCTTCACTCTCTTTCCTTTCTCTAATATAAAATAAACTTATACTTTTATATTCTACAAAATAATCTTAAGTAAACAACCTAGCTTTCCCCCTAGAGGGAAAAAAAAAAAGAACAAACTAAGCCCAAACATAGAAGAAGAAAGGAAATAGCAAAGACTAGAATGGAAATAAATGAAATAGACACTAGAAAGACAATTGAAAAAAATGCATAAAACTAAGAATTGGTTTTTTGAAACATAAATAACATTGACAAACCTTTAGTTAGACAAACAAAGAAAAAATACGCATCAAATACATAAAATTAAAAATGAACAAAAATGTTACAAATGATAGCACAGAAATACGAAGGATCATAAGAAACTACAGTGAACAAACACATGCCAACACATTATATAGCATAGAGGAAATGGATATATTCCTAAAATATACAACCTACCAAGACTGGATAGAGAAATGGAAAATGTGGGCAGATTAATAAAGTGTAAACTAAACAAAAGCACCAGTGATAAACATTGGGGAAAGATAGTTTCTTTAATAAATTCTGTGTGAAAATTGGATAACTTCATGAAAAAAAAATTAAATCAAACTCTTACCATACACTGTACCCAAGAATTATCTCAAAATGTATTCAAGAATTAAACGTAAGATCTAAAACTGTAAAACTAGAAAACATAGGGAAAAAGCCCCCCGATATTGATCTTGACAATGATGTTTTGGATCTGACACCAAAAAGCACAGGAAATAAAAACAAAAATAAGCAAGTGGGACTGTACCAAACTAAAAAAAGTTCTGCACAGCAAAGAAAACAAACAACAAAATGAAAAGGCAATCTGCAGGATGGAAGAAATTATTTGCAAATTGTATATCTGATAAAGGGTTAAGATTCAAAATATGTAAAGAATGCATACAAATCAATAGCAAAATAACCATAAAATAAAAAGATAGTCTGAATAAAAAATGGGCAAAGGATTTGAATAAACTTTTTTCTGATGAAGACATAAAAATGGCAAAGGTATATGAAAAGGTGCTCGGCACCACAAATCATCAGAGAAATGCAAATCAAAACCACAATGATATATATTACCTCATACCTATTATGATCACTTTTATTGAAAGGGCGAGATATAATAAGTATTGATGAAAGTGTGGAGAAAATGGAACCCTTGTACCCCGTTTGTGGTGATGTCAATTGATACAGCCATTAAGGAAAACATTATGAAAGTTTCTCAAAAAATTAAAAGTAGAACCGCCTTATTATCTAGTATTCCCACTTTTAGGTATATATCCAGAGATAATGAAGTTAGTATCTCAAAAAACATATGCATTCCCATGCTTATTGTAGCAGTATTTACAATAGACAAGAAATATAAAATAAGCATTTTATATTGATATAAAATAAACTGTAGATAATTTATATATAAAATTATATGTAATATATAATACATATTACATAATGTATAATCGATACATAATAGAATATTATTCAGACATGAAAAAGAAGAAAATCCTGCCATTTGCAACATCATCAATGCAATGAACCCAGAAGACATTATGCTGGGTGAAATAAGCCAGATGCTGACAGGCAAATACCATTTGATATCGCTTATATGGAATCTAAAAAGTCCAACTCAGGAGAAAGTGAAGTGTTTGTTGCTGGAAAGATGGTGAAATGCCAGGTCAAAAGGAGCAAACTTTCAGTTATAAGATGATTAAGTTCTGGGGATCCAGCATACAGCATAGTGACCATATTTAAGGAGACTGTATAGTATAATTGAAATTTGCTCAAAAAGTAGTACTTACGTGTTCCTACCACACACACACACAAATGGTAACTATGTAAGGCGATGGATGTTTTAATTAGTTTGTTAGTGGTAATAATCTCACAATGTGTGTATAACAAATCATCATGATATATGTTTTAATTATGTGTAATTTTTATTTGTCACTTATACCTTCAACAAAACTGGAAAAGCAATTAAACATCATATCATTCCTGGCTTTTATTAGGAGCTCAGTAAATAGTAGCTGGAGATGGTACAGAGGAAAAGAAGGAGGAGGGGGAGGATATAGGTGAGACTAAACCATGACGTTTGCATTCGTGAGATTCAGAAATGACACAGGCAACCTAACAGTCTCTAGACTGCTCTGGAACCCACCTGGGTATGGGCTTGGTGTGACGAGCATGCCACATCTAAGTTAGATTTTGGCAAAGTCATCCAAGAGGATGAGATACTTCCCTGTAGGGAAGGAGCCACGAGGTCATCTGGCAGCTCTGTCCAGGGCCACTCCATCACCCCTGGGCCTTCTAGAATGCCAGAGTACCTCAGGAACCTATTTTTAACATGTTTCTTTTTGCTGTCTCAACATATTTATTTTATTCTATTTTACTCTATTTTTGCTGTTGCATAGAAATAGATTATAAAAAAATAAAAACATAGTTTGATTCACAAAAATCATTGCTCTGCACACACTGTTGTGTTCTTGTGTGTGGGGGGGTATTGGAAGACATTGATTAGATTTTACAGTTTTATTAAAAAAAAATGCCATTGGATTTCCCCCCAAAAAAATCTTTAAGAGTGACGATTGCTTAATTAATCATAAGATAAATAAAATTGATGCTAAGAGCTGTCATACAGATGAAGACTAGTGAAGCAGGGACCCACTTGCTCCAAAGTCTGCAGTTATTTACTTTCAACTGAAGTTCTCACCCGCATAAGCTAATTCTCCCTTTTGGTGATATTCCATTGCATCTAGGTGAACAGGGTTCAATTTACCATGACTATTTAAGTACGGTAAATCATGACTGTGTAAAGCCCCACACTTCTTTGTAGTTAGCTCAGCTCTCCTCTTGGATGAAATTATACTTTGAATTTGCATAGTGCCCAGGGGATTGAGTCAGCCCACTCTCTGTGTGCTAAATTGGCATCAGGAGCTTTTCCTCTTTTTGTAAATGATGACAATTGAGGACAAACAAACATGGTATATGTGTTAACAAAAATCATGCATTCATTTAGGGCAGTAAGGGAAAACTATATTTTGGTCCACAAGCTCTGTCATCATTAATCTGGGATCTATGAAGTCCTGGAAGATCCATGGATGAGATTTTGTTAAACAGAGCCCCTGAAATATAGAAATATTAAGGGGTTGTGTGTATGAGCAACAAACATTTCTAGATTTTATGCTACGGACCAACTGTAAGGAATAAAAAGAAATGTAAGGTGCACTCCTTCACTCTTCACAGTTCAGCTACAGACAAGCATATGGAAGGCCAAATAGCAATACCTCTTCTATATAATAACGTATACAAAATATTATGAAATTGATTGATGATAGAGTTGGGGCCTGAAAAATTTACAAGAAGGAAAGAAGCAGAGGATTCTTTTTGTTTGTTTATCTTTGTTTTTGAGACAAAATTTCTCTCAGTTGCCCAAGAGTTGAGTTCTGTGGCATCATAGCTCACTCACAGTAACCTCAAACTCTTGGGCTCAGGCCATCCTCTTGTCTCACCCTCCTGAGCAGCTGGGGCTACAGGCACCTGCCACAACAATGGCTAGTTATTCTATTTTTAGTAGAGATGGAGTCTCGCTCTGCTCAGGTTGCTCTTGAACTCCTGAGATCAGGCAATAAACAGAGGTGCAGAGAAAAAAACGTGTAAACTTCTCAATGGAAGTTAGGAAAATGAACATCTCATGATAGCAGAAAGGCAACAGAAAATAGCCATGGCTTTTACACAGTGGAAGGGGAAGCTCCTGAAGGGCTATGAACAGAAAAGTGAAATGATCAGGCGTAATTTTAATGGGATCCTGATGAGCGCTTTGATTAAGGGCAGGCTGAACAAGGACAGGAGCCGGTGCAGGAAGACCAGTCAGGAGGCCGGAGCAAACCAACAGATGACCACAGTTGTTTGACGCATGTTTGTTTGCTGGGTTGTAGATCAACTTTGAAGGCAGAGTTGTTAGCATTGAATTATTAACTATTATATGGGGTGTAAGTGAAAGAAGGGCAAGAATGACTCTCAAGTTTGGCTTTGACCAACGAGTAATAGGGCTGCCAGAGGTCAGGTCTTTTTGAAGAAGAGCAGGAGTTAGTTTTAGAACATATTGCATCTGAGATATGTGTTAGAGACCTAGTAGATAAATATATGAATCTGGAAATCCGAGACATCGTCCAGGCAAGAGATGTAATTTGGGGAATTATTAGTGTAGAGGCAGCATTTAAAGAGGTAAGGATAGATTTAAAAACAAAAAACCCTGGGGAGAAAATGGAAAAGGGAAAAGAGAAGGGGCTCGAATGCCAATATTTTACTCCCACTGGAGTCCGACAGGCCTATGCAGCCTATTAGGAAGTGAAACTTCTTTTCCGTGGCGCCTCGGAGGCGTTCAGATGCTTCAGGGGAAGCTGAGTATCTCCTGCCCAGCCACTGGCTGCCAGAAACTCACTGAAGTGGACGAGGAACGCGAACTTCCTACTTTGTATGAGAAGCACATGGCCACCCAAGCTGCTGCTGAGGTGAAGAAGGGAAGGGTTATGTGCTCAGGATCAGGGGTGGAAACAACAAGGTAGGTTTCCCCACGAAGCGGGATGTCTTGACCCAGGGCCAGGTCTGCGGCTGAGTAAGGGGGTACCTGTTACTGACCAAGGAGGATTGGAGAAAGGGAGAACAAGTCTGTTCGGGTTGCATTGTGGATGCCAATCTGAGTGATCTTGGTTATTATTTAAAAAAAGAGAGAGAGAGAGAGAGAGAGAAGAACATCCCTGGACTGACTGACACCACAGTACCTGGGTGTCTGGGGCCCAAAAGAACTAGCAGAGTCTGCAAACTTTTCAATCTGTCTAAAGAAGATGACATTCGCCAATAAGTGGTGAGACAGCCCTTAAACAAAGAAGGTGAGAAACCGAGGGCCAAAGCACCCGAGATTCAGCCTCTGTGACTCCACGTGTCCTGCCACATAAACACTTGTGTATCGCTCTGAAGAAACAACGTACTAAGGAAAGTAAGGAAGAGGCTGCCGAATATAATAAACTTTTGGCCAAGAGAATGAAGGAAGCCAAAGAAAAGCGCCAGGAACAGATCGCCAAGAGACGCAGGCTGTCCTCTCTGAGAGCTTCCACTTCTAAGTCTGAATCCACTCAAAAATAAGATTGTTTGAGTTACAAATAAATGAGATCTTATCTCCAAAAGAAAAAGAAAAAAAGAAAGTGGAAATAGATTGGTCAGATCCCAGTAATGTATTTTTGATGTTGCTTCAATTGCCTGGGGGGTCCTCATAAAATATTCTCCCAGGCCAATTTCTTCAAGTGTTTTCCCTGCACTCTCTTCTACTATTTTTATAGTTTCATGTCTTAAGTTTAAATCTTTTATACAGTGATAATCAATTTTTGTTAATGGTGAAAGGTGGGAGTCCAGTTTCAATCTTCTACAGGTCGCCAGCCAATTCACCCAGCACCATTGGTTACATAGGGACAGAAGGGAGCACTTCTACACTGCTGGTAGGAATGCAAGCTAATACGACCTTTTTGGAAAGAAGTTTGGAGAATACTAAAAGAACTAAAAGTAGACCTACCATTCAATCCTGCAATTCCTCTACTAGGTATATACCCACATGATCAACAATCATTTTACAACAAAGACATTTGCACCAGAATGTTTATTGCAGCCCAATTCATATTTGCCAAGACATGGAAACAACCCAAGTGCCCATCGACCCATGAATGGATTAACAAATTATGGTATATGTACACTATGGAATACTATGCAGCCATAAAAAAGATGGAGACTTCACATCTTTTACATTTATCTTGATGGAGCTAGAATATACTCTTCTTAGTAAGGTATCTCAAGAATGGAGACACAAGGGTCTGGAATTCAGATTCACAAGTCTTCCCTAAAGATAAAGTTTGGTCATCAGCAAATGGATAGGAAGGAGAAAGGAAGAGCACTGAAGTGACTGACTGGGAAATACCGGTATTTAGAGGCATCTAAGGGCAGCAAAGTCAGCAAGGTGACACAAAGTGAGCTTACATGGGGGTTGACAGCATGGGATCAGGCAGAGCTCAGAATTTCTGGAGAAAAGGGTGATCCACAGTGCCACGCCCTCTATGAAGACTGGCAGGCTGAAGCCCATATACTGTCTGCCTAGTGTGGTCTTTGAGAATCTTGGCTATATGAGAAGGATGATGGCAATGGAAACAAAGTTGTAAGGTTTGCAAAACAAATAAAGGTACCAAAAAAAAAATAATTAGAAGTAAAAAATATGCACAGCTATTTAGTGGAGACATTAAAATGAGAAAGAAAGGGAGGATAGGGTGAAGTGAGGGGGTCAGATGAGAAAGAAGAGTGTTATGCTCCTTTACCGCATTGATACAGTATCATCTTTGTCTACATAAAAATATGTTGTTTGAATTAAGGCAAGGTTTACCCCCACACAGTCCACTCCCTGAAGATCTAGTCCAGGGTTTGCAAAGTTCACCCCAATCCTGTGAGTCAGGTAACATTAATATTGTCTATCAATATCTTCCAAATCTATGTGAGAATACCCTTCAATTTGAATAAAATTCTACTCGTGAGAAAATTTTTATCAAGCATCGCTATTTGCTGGGTGCAAAGTGCTATTTTGTGCTATTTATGCAAATTAGCCAAGGGATGGTTTTACCAAAGGACACAATGTATTATAACTGCATTTCTGTTTCCTACATCTATTGTTCTGTCCTCTTTTATAATTTCAGTAAATACCCAGGAGGATAAAAAGAGTATTAAAGAAAATAGTGCCTTGTGTGCCTGCATGAATGTCTATCCACTGTGGTCTCAACCCGGCTCTGTCCTGAGGACATGTGTTAAGACTGCACTAGAAATACGGCTGTGATGTTTTGGGTTGATCAATAATTAAAGCTTCTTAGCTGTGATGCCACAGCATGCTACAGAGGGCAACATAGTGAGACTCTGTCTCAAAATAATAATAATAATTAAACCTTCTACTACAAGAACCAAAATGAATCTACTCATGATCATTCCCACGTTAATAGCAAGATTTACAATTCCTATTCTTTACATTTTAGGAGACCTTGGTATCCTAATTATGTGTGGACAACAGGATGGAAAGAAAGCTCACCTCTTGCTGTGTTTTATCAGATACAAACATGTCATCTTGAAGGAAGCTGTTCAATTTTTTGAAGCTTGGCTTTCTCCATGTGGTACCCACAGAACTTAATATTTTACTTCTGTTTAGCCGTATTTATCAATTCCTGATTATAGTTTACTTCAAAATCACGAATTAGAAGGTATGCACTTTCATAAGTCTATCCATGTTTCTTGGGAAGCTTTTATTCAAAGGAAGTCTTTCCTTTTAAAAGCTATTTTTTAAGGAGCAGAAGTTCTTTAGCAAGAAAAAAAAATTCACTATCACAATGGAACGTTCACAGGCAAGTGTAATAATATTTTAACCTCAGAACTTCCAACAAATTTTAAAGGTGCTTTATGGTGGAAAAAAATAAAGGTATTGATGCGTTAATTCTGTAAATTAGACAAAGTGAGGGGGGCGGTGGTTTGGCACAGAAAGCTGTGTAGCCTCTTCTATCAACGAGCACCAAACACGAAGAAAAGGGATAGGAGAGGAAGCAGGCTGCTCGGGGTGCACAGAGAGTCTACTGCTGCTGTGCTTTGGAAACTTCAAGTCATTTTCATGACAGATAGTTTTAAACTCTTATTTTTAGCGATAGCTGCCAAATTCTGCACGTCCTATAATGCTCTGCTCCCTAATTGGTTTGGAAGCCTGTAATTGTTCAAGTTTAAGCCAGCCTATAAAATATGCTAACTCATTTGAGCAGGATTGAGCAGGAGAGTTAAATAAATGACTATGTATTATTAATTGGTCATTTATTTAATTTTGTCTTTTGATCAAATTATAGCTCTAATATGCAAAAAAAAAAAATTACAGCACAGAAGAGGCTTCTTGGAAACTTCTTTGGAGAGAGAGATTTCAGGTCTAAGTGGTCCTGTGGATGCTTAGAACCTGTGCACAGATTCCATGGCATGACCTGGGAAGTCAACATACTTTGGATAAAATCTACAAGGTCAGTGATGAAAAATGTCTCGTAAGAGAGCCACTATATTTACTATGTTCCTGATGAGACTTGGAGTGTGAGCAGCTCTCTTGATTGTTTGGCATCACTTTTGTATGTGTTTCATAAAAACCTGGAAAAGTAAGAAATATGTGTGCCCCAGAACAGTTAGCACTGTGTTCAGAATTTGTTAGTCGGCTTAAGAGTTTGTTAGGTAATGAGATCCTACATGTTTCCACCTGCAATATGAAAAATGTTGAGACTGATCATGTTTCATTAATTGTCTCTGTGCATTCTCTGTATAACGTGGCTGTTTGATGATTGTTTTCCCTGCACTAGTCAAGTGTTTTTACTATGGGTACAAAAAGGGAGGATGTTTTGAAAACTGCTGTAGAATCAGATAGGAAATGGCTGATGGTGGCTATAGCTACCACTGCCTGAAGGAATCGTCATGGTATTTAGTTCTTAAAGTTTTTCAGTAGCTCTGCCTGAATGCACATATTTAGAGATTTTATATGATTTTAGAGAAAACTGCTCAACTTTTTATACCATCACTACTGTCTATGCTTTTCTCTGTAACAGTTATTCTCCAAGGTCTTTTACAAAGATACAAAACTCGGCTCTTAGGTTCTGCTCTGTGCTAACCAGAGAAACATTATGGGCTTTGGTGAAGTTGTTCTCCTTCTTTTGATAAAATGTATCAGCAATGAATATAGGAACTATATTTTCCCACAAGGATCATGTAGAGTTTAATCTTTCCTAGTTATTGCTAAATGGTGTTAAATAAGGATCAGTGCACACACACACATTTTCTCTCTCTTAACTTTTTTTTTCTATTAAAAAAATTTTTTATTAAATCATAGCTGTGTACATTAATGCAATTATGGTGCACAATGTGCTAGTTTTATATACAATCTGAAATACTTTTATTTATTTTTTTGGTTGCAGTTTGGCCAGGACCAGGTTTGAACCTGCCACCCGTGGTATATGGGGCCAGCGCCCTACTCACTGAGCCACAGGTGCTGCCCAATTTGAAATACATTTATCAAACTGGTTGACATAGCCTTAACCTCATTTTCTTAGTCATTGTGTTAAGACATTTATATTCTACACTTAGTAGATTTAATATGTACCCTTGTAAAATTCACCATAGTGTGGTCCCACCAATTATCCTCCCTCTACCCATCCTTCCCCCTCCTTTCCCTTCCCCCTCTTCTTTCGCCTTCATCTTGGACTGTAACTGGGTTATAGCTTTCATATGGAAGTGTAGGTGTTTATAAATTGGTTTTATATCAGGGCTAAGTACATTGGGTACTTCTTCTTCCATTCTTGAGATACTTTGCTAAGAAGAATATGTTCCAGCTCCATCCATGTAAACATAAAAGAGGTAAAGTCTCCATCTTTTTTAAGGCTGCATAATATTCCATGGTGCACATACACCACAATTTATTAATTCATTTGTGGGTC